TCGCTTGCTCCCCAGCGAAGCAAACAATGCGGCGAGCGCTCCGCCCGGCGCGCTGCGTGCGAAACGCGCCCCGCCCGCCGCCGCCATGACGCGCGGCCGCCGCCGGGGCCGGGGGGAGGGGACGGGAGCGGAGGGGAGCGGAGCGGAGGGGAGAGGAGCGGAGGGGAGCGGAGCGGAGGGGGGAGGGCCTGGGGGGAGGGGCGAACGGGCAGAGGTGGGGAGGGGCGACCGGCCAGAGGGGCCACCGGCCGGGCGATGGGGCGCCGGACCCCGGGGCTGGGGAATCATCGGAGGTGGCGCGGGGTTCAAGGGAGAGGGGCGCCGGGCGGGCGATGGGTTCGCCGGCACCGGGGCTGGGGGGGTTATCTAAGGGGGCGCCGGACACGGGGGCTTGGAGGCCTGAGGGGGCGCGGCGTTCAAGGGAGAGGCCAGCCGGCGCTGGGCAGAGGGGCTGGGGCGCGCCTGAGGGGGCGCGGGATTTGAGGGAGGGGTGCCGCACACCGGGTCTGGAGGCATCTGAGGGGGTGCCAGGCGGGGGAAGGGCGTGAGGGGAGGCCCCTGGGGAGGGGATGAAGAGGTGGGGGCCAGAGCGGGAGAAGGGGGCACTGGATGGGTCAGGCCCGGCTGAGTGTTCGGGGGACCTGGGGGAGTGCCGGGCGTGGGGCAAAGGGAGCCCAGACCACAGCGTGGTGGAGACCCGAGTGGGCGCCCCATGGGGTCGGGCTGGGCCAGGCAGGGGATTGGGGGGAGCCCGAGGGGCCCATGCTGGGCAGGATTATTCGCTGGTGGAGAGGAAGCAGGTGCTGGTAGGGGTGGGGGAAGCAGCGGGGCGCACTGGGGAATGGGGGCTGCAGGGCGGCCCAGCTGGTCCTCCTTTAGGAGTTACAGGCCTAGGATGGGGCCTATAGGTCCGGACCACCCGCTTGGGCTCCAGGTAGAACAGAAAGGGCCCCTGCGCAGCAGTAGTTTAGAGACCTGAGTCTTGGTCGCTGCCACTGGCTGCTTCCACTGTGGCCTTTGCTTCAACGCCAAAATTCAGAGGTTTCATGACAGTTTTCATCCCGAGATTAGTCCCGAAGGGCTTTGGGAGGAGGGAGAAACCTAGATGTCTCCTTGGTTTCCGTGAGGATTTGAGGTTAGTGCAGTGGCCGTGAAGGAGCCCAGCCCTGGGGAAAAGGAGCAGCAGGTGCCCCCCTCCCCGACAAGCAGGGGAGGCCCCTCAGTAGGAGCAACATGCCCCCCAGGCAGAGGCTGGGTCCTTCTGAGCCGGTGAGACCTTACCCCGCGTGGGCAGGCAGGGCGGGCTCCGCTGCTTAGGCTCTTCCAGCAAACGCGCTATCGAGAGCAGGCTGGCCACGTCCACCCAAGTGTCCTAGCTGGGGGCCCTTTGCTGACCAGAACTTGTGCCCCATTGCATCCAGTGTACAAGTAGGAAAGTGAAGGCTTGGAGGGTCACTCAGCCAAGGTCACCCAGTGGTCAAGTTCCTGAGCAAGGTCCCACCTCCAGACACACCCTTGAGCCAAGGTGAGGCAGGCCCAGCAGGGGGCCCCGACCACGTCTGCACCAGAGGCAGGAGCCGCAAGTATGTCCTCCGCTCTTCCAGATGTCTGCTATCTGAGTCAGTGGAGAGCAAGCACACGGGGCCTGCACCCTTCTCCACCCCAGGCAAGGCAGATGCAAACCAGGAAGCTGGAGGCCGTGTTGTGAAAGAAGAGAGACAGGAAACAGGAGAGAGGCGGAGAGGATGGCTTCTCCACCAACCGAAGTGACGCCCAGGAGGAGTGAAGGCATGTCATAGTGGCCTTCTGGAATTCCAAGGATGAAGAGACTAGCCTAAAAACCGTCAGAGAGGGACTTCTCTGGTGGTCCAGTGGGTAAGGCTCTGCGCTGCCATGCAGAGGGCCAGGGTTTAATCCCACATGCATGCTGCAACTGGAAAAAAAAAAAAAGATCCTACACGCTGCAACTAAGACCTGGTGCAGCCAAATAAATGAATAAATTTTTTAATTAAAAAAATTAAATTGGAAAGAAGAGTAAAGTTATTTTCTAAAAACCCTTCAGAGAGGAAGGATCTTCTTTAATCAGACTGAACCTGATTGTCAGTTGGCAAAGGGGTGAAACTGTCAAAATCCTAAGAGAATTTTTTTTTTTTTTGGCCGCGTTGGGTCTTCATTGCTGCGCTGGCTTTCTCTAGTTGCGGTGAGTGGGGGCTACTCTTCGTTGCAGTGCACGGGCTTCTCATTGCAGTGACTTCTCTTGTTGCGGAGCACGGGCTCTAGGCACACGGGCTTCAGTAGTTGCAGCACGCGGGCTCAGTAGTTGTGGCTTGCGGGCTCTAGAGTGCAGGCTCAGTAGTTGTGGCTTACGGGCTTAGTTGCTCCGCTGCATGTGGGATCTTCCCAGACCAGGGCTCGAACCCATGTCCCCTGCATTGGCAGGTGGATTCCTAACCACTGCGCCACCAGGGAAGCCCATCCTAAAAGAATGGAACCTACAATTCCATACACAGTGAAACTAGCATTCAAGTGAGACAGCAAAATAAAGGTGTCTTCACAACCTGAAAACACCCATACACTAAGTCTCAAAGAGGACTGAAAGACATTCCCAAGCAAAATGAGACGCGAACCCAAGAGAAAGACCTGGACGCCAACAAAGAAACTAGCTTAGACTGCTCAAAGAAAGTCAAATAACAACTTGAGAGAAAATCCCGCATGAGCTCAACATGGCATATGGCAAGGGGAAGGAGGAGCAGGAAGGAAAGGCGCACGGAAGTTCTTGTATAGCTAGAGGATTTTAGAATCGATAGAAAAAAGTCTGAAATACCCAAGTTTCCATGAGAAAAATGGAAACAGAATTTACAGATTTCAAAACAGCTGGGAGAAAACTGAAATGAAGAAAAATTGACAGTGCCAACAAAAAGCAGAAAAGAGAGAAAGAAAAATACATGATAAATGAAGAACACAGCATGAGGTGACAGTAAATTCAAACGTTTGAGTAATCAGAGACATGATGGAATTAAAAATTCATCTATTAAAAGCAGAGACTCGGGCTTCCTTGGTGACGCAGTGGTTGAGAGTCCGCCTGCCGATGCAGGGGACGTGGGTTCGTGCCCCGGTCCGGGAAGATCCCACATGCCGTGGAGCGGCTGGGCCCGTGAGCCATGGCCACTGAGCCTGTGCGTCCTGAGCCTGTGCTCTGCAACAGGAGAGGCCACAACAGTGAGAGGCCCACGTACCACCAAAAAAAAAAAAAAAAAGACAGAGACTCTCTAATTAGAATGTAAATACTGTTAAATACGAGAAACACACCTAAAACTGTGGATGGAAAGTATGTGTCATACAACTTATGTTCCTCAGAAGACCATAAAGAGAATGAAGAACCAAAAGCTAGGAAGTATTTGCAACACATACACCTTGCAAATGATTAGTATCCAGGATATATAAAGAACCCTTCCAAATCCACTGGAAAAAGACAAACACGCCAAAAGAATGATGGACAAATCCTGAAATCAGTCTCCTTGCAGAGAAGAACATGGAAAGGGCCAATAACCTCACTAGCAGTTTTGGAAATGCAAACTAAAACCACACTGAATGAGCACAACCATTAAAGTTGGACACATACCCTGCTAGCCAGAGCATCAGGTGGTACAATTATCTTGTAAACAATATGGCATTCTCCAAAGAAATCGGGTGTGTGCATCAGTTAGCTGTTGCTGCATAACAAACCACCCCCCAAACTTTGTAGCTCGAAACCACAACAATCGCTTCTTTCACTCATGGATCTGCTATTTGGGGAAGATTCAGCAGCACAGCTGGTCTACTCCACGCTGCAACCGCTGGGGCATCTCCACTGGGGGCTGGACAGGCCACATCCAAGACGGTGCACCCATGTGGCTGGCAAGCTGGTTCAGGCTGTGGGCTAAGGGCCTGGGGGATGTCCTCGAGGGAGGGTGGCCAGGTTCCAAGAGCAAGAGTCCCAAGAGAACCAGGTGGGCCCAGTATGACTTTTTATATCACAGCCTCAGACATCATGTAGCATCACTTGTGCACAAACCTGTCCAGATTCAGTAGCTAGGGGGACAACACCCCCTAGTTCCTGTGGAAAGAAGTGTCACAGTCACATTTTCAGAGGAGCACGTGGCAGGGAGAAGTGACTGTGGCCGTTTGGGAAAATGCAAGCTGCCTCGATGTGCACACCTGTTCCCAGCTCTAGGGCTAAGTCAACATACATTCCTAGGTACATCCTCTGCCTACTGCATGCCAGAGAGACCTGCACTGACCCATCAGACCTGTCAACATTCAAAGCAGCGCTGTCTTTAATAGCAAAACCACTGCGGGGGAACCCTTAAGTGTATGTGGACAATAAAATGAATAAAGCGAGATACGTCTACACAATGGACTAGCACGCAGCGATAGAAATGAATGAATTGCACCACTTGGATCCACGTGGCTGAATCTCAGACGCGTGATGCTGAACAGGAGAAATATAATGTCATAATGATAATACAAAGTGTGATTCCGTTTGCACTCAGCAGAGAGAGCTCGGAGTGCATAAGTGTGTGCACACGCAAACACACACCTGTATCTTTTCCGATATCTATAAACAAGGCTTGAGCTCATACTGATAGCTTCAGTTCTAACATGACAGATCTCATTCTGTCCTTCCCCCTTTCTATGTTTATAACTCAACAGGGAGAAGCCTCTATGCTTTCACCTGGTAGCTCCAGCCCGATTGTCTGTCGGGCTATAGCGGCCAGACAGTTGGCCCCAGACGCGTCAAGCAACGCGGCCCTCTGTTAGATGCATCAGCCCAGAGCTCAGCTCTGGGGACGTCCCTGCCTCCTCTGGCTCCGTAGCCCTCCCAACCCCACCCCCACCCCATTATATCTGCAGCGGAAAGCTTGGGCCCGACAAAGGCAAGGACGCAGGTATTGGTGCTTTTTCGTACGTTTCTATTTTCTGGCAGAAGTAAGATAAAATCCGTCTTCTTTCTTCTGTCTCTAACCTTACATTTAGTAGACTGTGCTTTTGCAAACAAATGAAACTTTTTTTTTTTTTGCAGTTCTGTTATTTATTTATTTATTTATTTATTTATTTTTGGCTGTGTTGGGTCTTCGTTTCTGTGCGAGGGCTTTCTCTTGTTGCGGCAAGTGGGGGCCACTCATCATCGTGGTGCGCGGGCCTCTCACTATCGCGGCTTCTCTTGTTGCGGAGCACAGGCTCCAGACACGCAGGCTCAGTAATTGGGGCTCATGGGCCTAGTTGCTCCACGGCAGGTGGGATCTTCCCAGACCAGGGCTCAAACCCGTGTCCCCTGCATTGGCAGGCAGATTGTCAACCACTGCGCCACCAGGGAAGCCCAAATGAAACATTTTTTAAATGGTACTTTCTTACTTCGGAATTCAGGAAAAATCGTTTTTACTGACTATTCAATTTTAATAGAAACCTAGTTATTTGCATAGGTTCAATAGAAATCAGTCCTCTTTTTTACCAGTATATAATTAGACAAAATGATTGTGCCGCTGCGGCCTTAAGCGGGTGTCATATTTGAGAGCACGTCTCCTGTGATTCAGGGTGACACACCCACCTTCGGAACAAGGATCGTAACCTCTGCGTTGACCCGGTGCCCACAGACCCACACCAGTGCCCGAACGACGTTGTATCAGGTCTCAGCTTCACAAGTAGTCAGGCAGACAGGAACTGTGGCAGACACCTAGGTCCTTGTGAAAAGAGAAACTCACCTACACGCACAGGCGCTGCAGGCAAGAGCAACGTGAACCTCAGACACGCGAGCGGCTCAGCCGTACATTCCTCATGGTGACGTCTCCAGACAGAAGTGGATTTTGCGGCCTTGGTCCTTGGGAAACCCCACGTGGCTTAGTTGTACCGGCCCAACAAGGAGGCTCAGACGTGCTAATTGCCACTTCTTTCAGCACCTGTGTAGATGAATCAGGTCCAAACACAGTAAGACCAGCTTTCTGTGAAGAACAACCTTCGTCCCAAGGTGTGTCTGTGTGGGGGGACTCATAAAAATTTTCCAAAACGTGAATGGGTAAGAGGATGGCGGTGGGTCCTTTCGGTGGGAGGCTGAGTGTGGTCCAGCAGACCCACCACGGGCACTTTTTGATTCTCTAGGGTGTCCCTCTGTTTTACTGCCTACTTACTATTATGATTTTTAATAACACGGTAAGGGTAGATTTTAACTTGTAGAAAATGGAAGGCTAGGCAATGTGATTCTTGTCTGATAGCAATGCAAATGAACTTTGCCCAGCGGTAAGTGACAAAAATTATCTCTGTAGAAAAGATTAGTTGGAAGAGGTTGCAGTTTTACGGCCCTGTAGAACATTAACCAGCTTTTAACCTACATTGGTGAACTTACTCAAGCAAGCTTTTCTTCAGCCACTACAAATCCTTCCCTCCCCCCAGTGTTTTCAACCAGCCTCACCATTACGCTGGTTTCCTTGTTAATGATTTCAATAAACCTTGGACACATCCTCACTTTAGAGCCGTAGAGCCATATTTTTAACTTTTGAAAATCATGCTTTGGCAGCTCCTGCATCTCGCTGCCTCCTCAGCATCTCCGCTGTGATGGCTGACGGACATCCCAAACTTAACATGCCTGATGCTCAGCTCTTGGCCCCCATCCCCGAACTGCCCCCCTGTGGTCTTCCCCATCTGTTACGGGTTGAATTGTGTCCCCCCCAAAAAAAAGACAGGTTGGCATCCTAATCCCCGGTGCCTGTGAACGTGACCCTACTTGGAAATAGGGTCCCTGCAGGTGAGCAGGTTAAGAACTCACTGGGGTGGGCCCTGACCCAATGGCTGGTGTCCCTATAAGTAGAGAGAACTTCGGACACAGGCTCCAGGGAGAAGGCCATGTGACAAACAGAGGCAGAGGCTGGAGGGACGCAGCTGCCAGCCCAGGAACGCCAAGAGTGACAGCCACCAGAGCCAGAAGAGGCAGGAAGGATGCTCCCCGACAGGCTTCAGGGAGAGGCAGCCCTGCCGACACCTTGATCTCAGACATCCAGCCCCCAGGACTGGGAGACAACGCGCCTCTGGGGTTGAAGCCGCCAGGTCTGTGGCGCTTTGTCACGGCTCCCAGGGTACTAATCCACCTTCTCAGCTAATGGTGATGCCATGCTTCCTGAGTGAGAGGCAGTCCTACTGTTCACATCTGATCCATCGGCAAAGCCTGATAGCTCCCCCTTCAAAACATGTCCAGAACCAGTCCTCTGTCACCACCTCCTGTTACTACCCCAGGGCCAATCACTGTCATCCCTCACCTAGATTATCTAGGTGTCCAGACTGGTCTGTCTGCTTCCCCCTGGCATCTCTGTAGCTTTTCTCTGCAGAGCAACCCACGTGATACTATCACTCCTGTGCTTGGAATCTCCCAATGGCTCCCCATCTCTCTCAGAATAAAAGCCAAAGTCCTCAACTCAATAACCCAAAAATAACCAAATTAAAGAATGGGCAAAGGACTTGAATAAACACTTCTCCAAAGAAGACATACAGATGGCCAATAAGCACGGGGAAAGGTGCCCGACATTATCAGCCATCGTGGAAATGCAAATCAAAACCACAGTGAGGTATCACCTCACACCCTCTAGGATGCCTACAATCAAAAAGTCAGGGGAATTCCCTGGCGGCCCAGTGGTTAGGACTCCAATGCTGGGGTGTGGGTTCGATCCCTGGTCAGGGAACTAGGATCTTGCAAGGCAAGTGGTGCAGCCAAAAAAAGTCAGATAATAACAAGTGTTGGTGAGCATGTAGAGAAACTGGAACTTTCTTGCATTGCTGGTGAGAATGAAAAATGGTATAGCTGCCTCAGAAAACAGTTGAACAGTCCCTCAAAATGCAAACCACGTGACCCAGCAATTCCACTCCTAGATATGTGCCCAAGAGAAAGGAAAACACACGTCCACACAGAACTTGTACATGAACATTCATAGCAGTATTGCTCATGATAGCCAAGAGGTGAAAACAGACCAAATGTCCATCGACTGATCAATGGATAAATAAAATGTGGTCTATTCATAAAGGGAATATTACTTGGCAATAAAAAGAAATGAAGTACTGAAATGTGCTACCACAGGGATGAATCTTGAAAAACGTCCTGCCAAGTGAAGGAGACGAAGGTCACATATCATATGATGCCATTTATATGAAATGCCCAAAGCAGGAAAATCCATGGAGACAGAAAGCAGGTTAGTGGTTGCCAGGGCCTGGGGCAGCGGGAGGGAATGGGGAGTGACTGCAAGTGGGTGTGGGGTTTCTTGGGGGATGAGGAAAATGTTCTAAAATTGACTGTGGTAAGAGTTGCACAACCCTGTGCATATACTAAAAACTATTAAATTTTAGTTTTTGTTTGTTTGTTTGTTTGTTTTTTTGGCCACACCACATGGCTTGTGGCATCTTAGTTCCTTGACCAGGGATTGAACCCAGGCCACAGCAGGGAAAGCGCTGAGTCCTAGAAACTGGACCGCCAGGGTCCCTTGAATTGTACATTTTAAATGAGTGTACTGTAGGGTATGTGAATTATATCTCATTAAACCTGTTTTTAAAATACATTGAATAAATAATTACATAAATTAAAAAATTAAAAATAACACCAGAGAATAGATAATGTAGACTCATCTCTTCCTGCTCCTCCAATTAAATATAACTTTAAAAACAGGGAAATAATACAAGAGACCAATCATAGACCTCTGGTAGGAAGAGAAAGGTAGGCTGGCTGAAGACCTCGGATTGAGGAAAAACACTGCAGCCCGGAGTCTCCCATCCCCCCACCCCCCAGGAGTATAAGGCTGCCCAGGTCCAGCAACTCCTGGCCAACCAGTGGCTGAAAGCAGCCCAGGCCCAGTGTCTCCCCACCCTCCCACCCAGCAGCTAGGAGAAGTCCATCTATCCTCCCATGGGGAAGTCAACGGAGATGGAGCAGGAACCCTGGAGGTACCAGGTCTCAGAAGCACCTCCATCCCATGGGTGCAGCCTCTCCCACTCCCCACCCACTGGCTCTAGGCAGCCTGGAGAATCTCTGTTCCCACAGGCAGCACCAGCTGAATTAAGTGGAAGCTCCAGTGGCACAGATGAACAGAACATACCAGAACAGAAATGCAAGGGCTCTGAAAACTAAATTATCATTGGAACCACAACCCACAAAAGGAGGCCAGGATGTGCTGCACCTGAACACAAGCAGGATGACTGCCTGCTAAGATAGAATGTTTCAATAGGACCCAGAGGCTCCCAACATAACTTCCAAACTGTTTAGATTACAATTTGGAAACCACTTGTCAAACCAAGAATTTAAATGAGAGGAAAAACCATCAACAGATGCCAACGGTGAGATGAATCAGATCCTGGAATCATCTGACAGAGATTGTAAAGCAGCCACCACAAAAATGTCTCAACAACCAGTTACAAATTATCTTGAAACAGCAGAAAAATAGAAAATCTTAGTGCATAGAAACAAGTCATTAAAAAAACAAATGGAAATTATAGAACTGAAAAATACACCAACATTTAAAACTCAATGAATGGGCTCAATAACACAGTGAACATGACAGAAGAAAGAGTCCATGAACTAGAGGACAGAAGAGCAGAAATTACCCAATCCGAACAACCAAAAGAAAGTAGACTGAAGGAAACAAATAAACAAACAAACAAAGCTTCAGGGACCTGTGGGAGTATTAAAAAAAATAAAATAAATCTAACGTTTGTGGAATTGGATCCCAGAAGGAGAGGAGTAAGAGCAGCAGGCTGAAAAAAATATTTGAAGAACTTATGGCAGAAACTTCCCAAATTTATAGAATAGATAACCAACAAGGACCTACTGTAGAGCACAGGGAACTGTACTCAATATTCTGTAATAACCTATAATGGAAAAGAATCTGAAAATATATATATATATATGTATGTACAACTGAATCACTTTGCTAACACAACATTGAAAATCAACTATACTTCAATTTAAAAAAAACTTTCCAAATTTAGCAAAAGACATAAACCTACACATTCAAGAAATTGAGTGAACCCCAAATTAGATAAATCCAAAGAAATCTATACCACACACATGATTAAACTTCTAAAACCCAGTGACCAAAAAAAAAAAAAAAAACCTCTTGAAAGCAGACAGAGAGAAATAACACATTGCCTATAAGGGAAAAACAATTGGAATAACATTGGATTTTTTATCAGAAACCACAGAGGCCAGGAGGAAGTGGCACATTTTTCAAAGCTGAAAGGAAAGGACTGTCAACCATGAATTGTATATCTAGTGAAAATATGCTTCAAGTATGAAGGGGAGGGAATTCCCTGGTGGTCAAGTGGTTAGGGCTCTGTGCTTTCACTGCTGAGGGCACAGGTTCAATCCCTGGTCCAGGAACTGGGATCCCACAAGCCACACGGCACGGCCAAAAGGAAAAAAAAAAAAAAAAAAAATGAAGGTGAAATGAAAACATCCACAGACAAAGAAAACTAAAAGAATTTGTCACTAGCAGAGCTGCCCTTAAAGAGTGGCTAAAGGAAGTCCTTCAAACAGAAAAGAAATGATAACAGAAGGCTCAGAGCTTCAGAAAGGAAAGAAAAACAATGGAATGGGTAAGATGGAGGTAAATATAATAATTACCCTTCTCATCACAAGTTTCTTATGTATGTTGGGTGACTGAAGTAAAACTTGTAACACTGTCTGATGTGGTGTTAAATGTATGTGTAAGAAATATTTCAGACAGTTATATTTTGTAAATGGGGATGGTAAAGGGAGTTAAATGGAAGTAAGGTTTCTACACGTCACTCAAAGTGCTAAAATTATATCAATAGACTCTGATACCTTAGGGATGTATAGTGTAATACCCAGAGAGTCATTGGGAAAACTATACAAAATGTTATACTCAAAAACACTACAAAAAATCCAAATGGAATTCTAAACAATGTT